AGATGGCTGCGCTCTCCCCCTCCAGCCCACTCACCCGGCACCAATGTACCCATTGTATATGTTTCTAAATTCTCTTGTAGAGTTTCTACCCTGAACATGTATCACTTGAGTAATAAACTTCCTCTTATTATTTTGTAAGTTACACAAGTAACCTATAGACACACTGTAAAAGTAAGTCAAATAAAATGGAAGTATGTAAAAGAAGGAGTGAAAATCCTGACCCCACTCCATACCCAATGGTAGCCACTAGTCATAAAACAAAATCAGCACACATTTATTTAAACCAACAGAATTATGTAATCAAGAAACAACTCACCTATTTATTTAAACCAACTATCAACAAACAGATGCCCGTCCTCCCAGCCTGGCCACGCGCTCCCTCTCCATGGAAGCTTCTCTAATATCTCAGGCTCACCCTTTTGGGGGTGGCTTTGAAATCAGACTGTCTGGGTTCGAATTTCAGCTCTGCTCGCTTACCTAACCTCTCTGTGTCTTAACTGCTTCATCTGAAAAGCAGACACAATGACAAGGTTCCGTCTGTATGGCTGTGGGGCAGTAAAGGCTCTTGCCACAGAGAGCCCTTAGGATGGTGCCTGGGCCACTCAAGTGCTCCCCTGTGCCAGCACTTAGCACTGTTGTCTCTGTTCTCTCGAGGAGAAGAGCCCCAATTTCACCCTTAATTAAATAATAAACAGCCAAGGCATTATTGAGCACCTACTCTGCACTGAGCCATGGGGACACGCTCACATGGATTTGAAACACTCAACATGTGCTGTCTCATCTGAGTCTTAGGACCACTCTGAGCAAGGGCCAAAAGCAGATACCTTGAGGAAGGAATGAAAGCTCAGAGAGGTTAAGTGCACAGTTTAGGGGCACTCAGCTAAAAAGGATAGGGCAGGATTCAAACCCAGGCCTGTTGAATCCACAACCCAACCCAAGAACCCCAAGAGAGCACAAGCCACCTAGGGTGGAATGGAGCTGGGCCAGGTGCTGTAAGAGGCGGGACAAGAGAAGGGCAGTGAGGGCTGTAGGAGCAGGCGGGGCAGCCCACGTGGGGCCTGAGGCACTGACCTTCATTATTCCCACCAGCTGGCCCTGTCTCCACAGCCAGGCCAAGGTGTCCCAGAGGGCTTGCCCACGCCTCAGCCTTTTGGCCTACTGCTCGCCTCATCCCACCTGGCTCAGAGCTGGCCACACTCCCTAGGCGGTGTCCCCCTGCTCAGCCCACTTCACTGAAGCCTGTGGCTGCTTGCCAGGGGGAGGTGGGAGCAGGTGGGGAGGCACAGCTGCCCTCAGGGCCAGGGCAGGGCCTGGGGAGTAGTGGACTGAGCACATGAAGACCTAGGCTCCTGTCTGGACCCAGCCTCTGACTTCCTTGGGTGCCCCGGGCAAGCCTCCCAGCTTCCTCGATCTCCTCCACCCACGTCTACGAGACCCGCCACAGGGAAGCCATGCACAGATGCCTGCTAGTGTGGAGGGCTGATGGATCCCTGCTGGACAGTGGCTTGATGTGCAACCTCCCCTGTCCAGGCAGGAATCAATATTAATTAGCCCACTTAACAGATGGGACCCAGAGAGGACAAAGCCCTGCCTGGTGGCAGCAGGATTTGAACCCAGGGACCCACAGCTCCCTTCTCTTCCACAGCACGGGCCTTCCAGGGAGGCTGGAGTCTGAGGCTCTCTCCTTGGCACCTCCCTCTGGCCCCCTCCCTCTGGTCCTGCTGGCTGGGCTCAAGGACTCTGGGGAGCTTTCCCAGCCTGATGATGCCATTAGACATCTCCAGAGGACCCTGCCCACCTGAGGACCTGGGAGTCGGTGACCCCATGGTCAAAGGGGCTGGCGCCAGAACCCAGCTGGGGCCTGGCTGGGGCAGGAGCCCCAGGAGAGGGGAAGGCGCCAGGCCCTGCCATAGGGCAACAATGGGTGCCTCGGCTTTCTTCTAGTTTCTGGAGCGGTGACATCCTCCACTTCCTCCTTCACAAGGTGGGAGGGGGGCATCAGAATTATGAGGGAGGGACATCAATCCTTTTCCCAACGTCACCCTTTTCCTCTCTGAACTCCCAGTGGCCCAACACCAGATTGGGGGTGAGGTGGAAGGGGAGCTCCCTCCGGGCAGGTCCTGGGTACTTACCCAGCAGGACCCCCCACACTCACACCATTCTTGGTACTCCTGGGAAGAGTCCCCTACCCACAGAGGGTCTAGGATCCCCTGGCTCAGACTGCGCTTCTGCACCTGCCTTGAGACACACCTGACAGGTAGATGGGCGCTGTCCAAATCCACAGAGGATCCTGGCAGGATCCAGTCTGGCAGTTAGGCCACCTGGCCAGGCAAGTCTGGGGGAAGGGCCCATGACTTCCTTCTCCCCGCATCAAGGTTGTCGATTACCCCTTGAAACTGGGACCCGGGGGGCCACCCCAGCCGGCTCCCATCTGCTGTCAGTAACGTTCGGACTCGGCAGGGCGAAGCCCGGGCTGCCTGGCGGCCTCCGCTGGGATCTCAGTCCAACCCGGACCCAGCCGCAGCGCCCAGTCGGGGAGGAGGAGCCCCCTCCTCCAACTCCAGCCCAGAGCCTACCACCCCAGGACGTGGAATGGCGGGGCCAGCTGCACCAGGAATCTGCGGCGGCCGCCCACTGGACTGGAGGCCGAGGGGCTGGGGAAGGGTCCTGCGGGGAGACCCCTCCGCTCGCCGCCCCCCAGCTCCGGGATCCGGAGGCGCTGGGGGCGGGGAGGGCAGCCAGCAGATCAGCCGCGGCCGAAGGGCGGGACGCGCGCGACCGGGGACTCTCACCTGAAATTGGGAGGCGACGCGATGTGCAGCCCCAGGAACGGGGAGGCGGCGGGCGGGGACGCGGCCCCCCCGCCCAGGCCGCCGCTCTCTCGCTCCGCCATTCCCGGGCGCAGCCCTGGCCATCCGGGCGGAGCGCGGCGCGGGGAGGCGGCGGCGGCGGAGAAGGAGGCGGAGGCGCAGCGAGGAGGCCGCCGCCGCCGCGGGGCTCGGGCAGGGGCGGGCGCGGCGGTCGCACCTGCGCAGGGCAGGGCGCGGCTCCGTACCGCGCACGGCTCGCGGCCCGGCGAGAGCGCCCGCGCGCGCCCCGGGGCCCGGCCGGAGTCTCGAGGCCCCGCCCCGCCCCCCGGCACGGCGCTCTCCGAGGTGCTGAAGCCGCGGCCGCTGCTTCGCCCCGCCCCGCCCCGCCCCGCCCACACTCTACCTGAGGCGGACCCTCCTCAGAGCCCCCGGTCGCCCGTGTGGGCTTTGCCCCAAGGGGTGGACCTAGAGCCTGGGTACCAGGAAACTAAAGGGCGGACCCTGGTGCCCAAGTGCATCTTTGGCCCTCCAACAGCAGAGACAAAGGAGGGAGGGAATGTGAGGGTCGCAGAAGGCGGAGAAAGCATGGGGCCTGCCGGTGGACTCCAAGAGCAGACAGGTCTGGAGCCCTGGGGTGCGAATTCACAGCCTGGCTCCCAAGTGGATAGGCGATAGGGCCCTGCATTGGCGACTTCACACCCCTGGGGCTTGGTTTTCTCATCTGTGAAATGGGGACAATAATGATCCCTCTCATTGGCTGTTGTGAAGACGAGGCATAATAGAAACGTGTTATCACTGGGAAGTGGGAACAGCCTGTTTCCTGAACTGGGCCCCAGGCGTCACCTCATTCTTGTCCTACTTTGAGAGGACCCTGCAAGGATTCTCCCTAGAGGATGCAGCCTAAAAGTTGACCCAAACAGCTACCAGTGTTGGCCTGTGCCCTCCTCTTAGCTTCTCAGCCTCTCAGAGCCTCTTCCTTCTCAGTACCTCGGTTGCATTTCTTGCACCCAGACACCTCAGAACTTCTTTCTCACATTTTAAGACCTGGAACCTTCATCTCGTCCCCACTGTTACTTCTTGGGATACCTCTGGTGGTTGTTCTCTCCACCTTACCAGGTGTAGCTTTGGTTTCTTCCTAATCTCTCATCAGAGGCCAAGCGTGGGCCTTCAGGGCTCTGTGCTCGGGATTAGGTCCTCTTACAGAGCGGGGATTGCCAGGGCCAGGGTCCCAGCGTTCGTGGGTCCTAAGGTCTCTAGCCTGTTTATTGGCCATTGCAGACAACTGCAGAGACGCTGATCTCCCCCAGCCTGGTACAAAGGGGCAGGGCATACTTTCATGGCTTGTGGGGTCCTATTTGCAAATAGGATCTTGACTGTCAGCTGATGATGCTGGCTCCTTTTCCTTCCACGTAGTGCCCAGCAAGGAGCTGGAGGCACCCTCCCTGCAGTAAGCGACCCCTGCTCCAGCCCCAAGAAGCTCCAGCACCTGGAGCTCACCCTGGCTGCCTCTCCTCTTCCTGCCACTGAGGCCTGGAAAGATGGTCACTTCACTTTCCTGCTACTTTGTACTTTGGCTCAGGCCCCTCACACTAGCCATCTGCTGCCATGTCTTTTCCTCCCAGGAAATCACTGTGGCTAACAAGAGTGTGTGCTCAGGAGGTGTGTGCAAAGAGGAATCTCCCTCCTCCAGAACCTTTTACTCAAGAACAAAGGTATCTTAGTTCCCAGGACCAAGCCACAGCCACATGGGGAGCTGGGAGAAGGGAGCGAAGGCCAGCAAGAGCCTCAGAGCAGAGTGTAGAATGGGGTCAAGTTTTTCCCTTCTCCCTCTGTGCAGTGTGTGGTTCCCCATGGCACTCCTCGGCCAGATGGCATGAGACGCAGCCAGCATCCAGGGCCGGGGCTGGGCTGCGGCCCACCTCCAGCACGCCATCTGAGCATGCCCCTCACTGCACGGCTGTTGCTGAGCCACTGCACAGAGGTGAAGGGTGGACTGGGGGGTGGGGCCCATGGGCCATTGCGGGGGAGCACTCAGGAACCTCGTCCTAAGCCCCGAGTGCTCTGCACAGCTCCTAGCAAGCTCCAGTGGGACCTCCCTGGGAGCCATGGTGGTGCTGCCTAAGCCTCACTCAGATCCAGCAGCTCCAACCTCCACTCCCAGGCCTCCCCCAAGATGGACCACGGCACGGCTTTACTGACAGGATCAGACATTTATAAAACAAGTGAACATTCACAAACTGCAGGAGAAACACACCTTCCCAGCAACAGGAAACCTCTGTAAAGTGCACTCTTCCTGTGACCACCTCTTCCCCACGCTGGCCCTGAGACAGGGTTTAGGGCTTCACTCTGTGGCCATCCTCACGGCCACCTGGGTAAGGAGGAGATGAGAAGCCACCATGGAGCTCCAGGCCCCTGAGAGGCTGTCCTGGAGTGGGCCAGCATGCCAGGACTGGCGGAGGAGTAGGGGACGTGGTCTTGACAAGTGTGGCACCTTAGGGAAGAGCCATAGCAAACAGGCAGGAACAGGAACCGTCCCGACGGGTGAAGTGCGGCTAGGTAACTACTGAACGCGCCCTTCGCCCTGGACCTTCTGCTTTCGGACCACCCTCCAAGCCCGCTCTCTCCTGGCAGTGGGCCGCAGCTCTTTCCTCCTGGCTGGGGCTGAGGGAACAGGAAGCTCTGAAAACACCGTCACCTGTGCTGTTTCCCCCATGTGACGACAGGACATTTTAGTGAGGGTGACACGCATACAACAGTTGGACTCTAAAGGCAGCTCTCTGGCTGAGAAAACCTGAGGACATCTCAGGAAGAAGCCTGTCAGTCAGTGTGCTGGACAGCTCTAGGAGACAGGAACCTGGCCCAGGGACAGAGGACAGTCAGGACCAGGGCCAAGGGAGCTAACAACATTGAGGCTACGAAAGGTCACAGGGGAGGTAGAAGAAAGGGCCCAGAGGCCAGCTTAATGTTTCATGTGAAAACAAAAATCCTAACAGGAACTAGCCTTTCAGCTTTGTGCACACGCGCGCGCACACACACACACACACACACCACACTTTGTGGCTCAAGTGCAGGCCACGGGGTGGAAGGAAGACTTGCTCTAGGTGACCACATAGTCCTGCTTTCCATTGCTTGCCTCAACACAGGCCTTGGTGGTGGGCAGAGGGGTGGGAGCCGGCGCTCCTGGAATGTGAGGCTCGCTCGGCTTCTCTGGTCAAACCTCCCCTGCTGCTTCTGGATGGTATGCTGGGTGTGAGCTCTACTTGTACTTCTGCCAGCTGCCTGGCAGTGCCCACCTCTCAGTCCCTTGTCTTTAGAGCCCAGCTAGTGGGACAGCTGGCCAGTTCAGAGCAGGCCCTGGAAACCTAAGAACCAAGACCAGCCAAATTCCCTGGCTGGCGTCCGCTGTCCTCCCTGGAGCACCTGGTGCCTTGGAGTGTGGCCAGAGGAGCCCAGGAGCCTTAAGCCCCCTGGACCTGGTCTGCTGCTGAGGGACTGATTCTGACCCTGGCCCCTGCACAGCTCTTGGTAGAGGCTGAGGCTGGCTCTCATCTTCTGGGGAAGGAACAGTGAGAAATGGGACTCTAGCCCTGACCTTGGCTCCTAAGTCCTGAAAAGGCAGATATGCGTCTGGAGCTGCCATCTCCACGCTGGACACACCACGTCAGCCAGGCGCACTCCCATACAATGGTGGGAACTTTCCAGATCTGTCTACAACTTGTGCTCAGTTCTGGGTACCCAGAAAATTTTAGAATAAGAAACCAGGCCAGGGCTAAATCTGCACAGCACCCGTCAGCTTCAGCCCGCCCAGTCACCAGCCTCAGAGTTGAAAACCCAGTAGGACTCTGGCTGCCAAGAATCCCATGCTTTGGACAAGTGTCAACTATGTGGACCCCCTGCCCCTCAGTCCGATGTGAGGAGGGAGTGGGTGTGGGGAGGCAGTTGCCAGAGTTCTAGCTGGGGTCCTACCACTGTGTTCTACTGGACAAGGCAGGGGACATGCCAGGACGGGTCTTGGTGGGGGTCAAGGCTATGGACACCTTGGGCCTCATGTCTGGAGACCAGGAAGCTGCCTGTGCTCGTGGTGAGGGGAGTTCCAGGGCCTCCCAGCCCAGGCGGCATTCGGGATCTCGAGTGGAAACAGATGCATGCACACACAGACGGCACACCACTCCTTCCTCAGCACACACGCACACACACGTCCCCTCCGTCTCCCACGGTGACCGGCTTCTCTGTAGGTTGCACTCTGTGGCCGTGGTGGCTGCTTGGGCACCCGGGCTTTGCTCAGGGAGCAGAGGCTCGGCAGCTGGAAGAGAAAAACAAGTGCAAAAGGGCAGTCAGTCAGGAGGCTGCTCAGCTGCTTAGCCACACAAGCTCCTCTGGGGACACTGATGGGGAAGAGACCAAAGAGTGAGCTGCATGGGCCATAGTACCTGGGGACAGGTTGTTGCTGGGAAGCAATGGGGGCAACTAAATACTCTCCCTCTGAAGTACAAGTATAGGACAAGTTCTTGCCTGCAGATGTCCACCCGGGGCTGAGGGCAACAGAGGACAAGGCTATGCAACTCCTTGGAAGCCTGAACTGACACTAGTTCAGCTATGACAAGGCACGGCAGCTGGTGCCAGAGACAGAGAATCAGAAAACACTGGCTCAAAAAGAAGCCACTGGGAGGCTGGGGTTGTGGCTCAGTGGTCAAGTGCTTGCCTAGCATATGTGAGGCACTGGGTTCAATTCTCAGCACCACATTAAAAAAAAAATAAAGATATCGTGTCCATCTACACCAAAAAAAAAAAAAAGCCACTGGGACCAGCAAAGATAAACATATAAACATATATTTTTTTTGGGGGGGGGTCGGGCAATACTGGGGACTGAACCCAAGGTGCTTTACCACCCTTAAGCTACATCCCCAGCCATTTTTCTTTTCTTTTTTTTCCTTTTTTTTGAAACAGGGTCTCACTAAGTTGTGCAGGCTGTGATCCTCCTGTCTCCTAAATTGCTGGGACTACAGGTGTGTGCCACCTTGCCCAGCTGGGACCAGAAATTCTGAAGAGTAAGGCAAGGGCTCGATTTAGAATCTGCAGGTGAAAAATTTTCCATGTATAGATGAAGGAACCCTGGCACAGGGCTGGAAGGTGGCGGGGAGTGGCGGGGGCAGGAAGGGACAGGAGACACAGCATGACTCATTTTAAAGATTTATAACATCCCAAATCTGGGGCAGAGAAAAGAAAGGGCCTCATCTCTGATAACAGAGAACAGGGTGCGCCCAGCATGTCAGCTGCTGTTTAATAGGTTTAGTGTGTCTGAGAATCTAGAGAGACAAGTAGCGTTGGTTGCGGAGAGCTTCCCAGGCGAAGCGCTGGAAAGGCGGCCGCTACTCAGCAGCCCGCCCAGCTTCCTGCGAGTCAGGCGCCACACACTTGTGCCAAGACTGAGCTGCACGCCCCCGCTTATATGCTGAAGTTGTAACCCCCAGTACCTCACAATATGATTTTATTTGAAGACAGTCTTTTCTCTTCTTTTTAATATTTATTTTCTAGTTGTAGTTGGATGCAATACCTTTATTTTATTTATTTTTATGTGGTGCTGAGGATGGAACCCAGGGCCTTGCACAGGCGAGGCGAGCGCTCTACTGCTGAGCCCCAGCCCCAGCCCAGAGTCTTTTCATTTTTATTTTATTTTTTGGTATTGGGGATCAAACCCAGGGTGCTCAACCACTAATCTATATCTGCAGCCCTTTTGTTTTTTTATTTTGAGACAGGGTCTCACTAACTTGTGATCCTCTTGCCTCAGTCTACAAAATTGCTGGGATGAACAGGCAGGTGGCACCAGGCCCAATGCAGACAGGGTCTTTAAGAGGCAATTAAGTCAGAAGGAGGAGACTCAGATGACCCCTAATTTTAATATGCCTGGTGTCCTTATAGGAAGAGAAAATGGAGACCTGGACAGTATAGAGGGAAACCACGTGAAATCACAGGCTGAAGGTCACCTACAAGCCAAAGAGAGACACCATGATCTTGAACTTCTAGCCTCCAGAACTCTAAGAGGATACATTTCTGTGGTTGGGGCCACCTGGTCCCTGGTGCCATGTTATGGCAGCCCTTCCAGAGTCATACAACTTACCACCCCATGAACTCTAAAGATGCTGCCTTTACTTATTTATTTATTTCCAGGGCTGAGGACCAAACTCAGGGCCTTGTGTGTGCTAGGCAAGTGCTCTGCACTGAGCTACAACCCCAGCCCCTCTTGCTTTTATTTTTATAGATGAGAAAACTGAAACCAGAGAGGATAAGTAACTTGCCCAAGAAAAGAGCATTCATAAATGACAGAGCCAAGGCAGGAATCACAGGTTATTCTGATTCCAAAACCTTTATGTTTTAACAGTAAGTCATTTCTATGTTATTGAATTACTTATTAAGACTTGTAGAGAATGATAACGAGAAATTCAAACGGTAGCATGAAGATTAACATCCAAACAGCATAAATTGAGGTTAGGATGTTTTCAGAAAAGGGAAACTGCTCTTAAAAGTCAGATGTTGGAGATACGAATCCTCACTCAGCCCACCAGCACATGGAATCCTTTTAGGGCCACACACTGAAGCTGAAGCAGATCTGATCTGGATGGTGGTGATCCATCTAGAAGCCGGCAGATGAAGAGCACAGCAGAGTGGGTCATTTTTAAAATGTGTGTTATTCCAACACTTCTTCCTGTTAGGCTTGTACTGTAATAGCCATACTTTCCCATTACAAAGTAGTAAATTTGTTCCTAAGGTGTTTGTATGATTTACTGAAACATGCTGATCAGAGTGTACATTCTAGACTCCAGGTCTCTGCCCTGCCGTTCAGCCAAAGCCATGAGTATTCTTCTGAACCAGAATAAATTCATGATTGGAGAACACCCCACAGTGGGCCCTCCATGCCCAACACACCCACTTCTGTTTGTTCTCCCCCTTCAGGGCTGGGGAAGATGAGGGCTTGAAGATTCCATAGGCGGGAGGTACTCTGGGGTCCTGGACCCTTCAGGAGCCTAACAATAGGCTTAAGGGGCAGTCGATGAGGATCCTGGAGTTAAGGGCACATTTTAAAAATTACTTTTTAAGGTGCCATGTGCTGTTTTGATCCCTGTGAACACTGTGCATGACTTCCACCAGGCTTAGTACAGCCATCTGCTCAAACATGCCTCATTCCTTCACGGACAAACACTCCAGCTCCTCTCTCCCAGCTGTGCGGAGTGCACAGTGCATACTGTCGTCTACAGTCGCCAGCAGTGCCCCTGCACAGAGACATCTCCCCTCGCCCTGTGACCCAGCCCCAGGACACCATGGCAGCCTCTCCTCGCACCTCCCCACCTGGTCACCTCCAGACTACTCTCAACTTCCATGAGATCAATCTTAAAAGAAAAAAAGGAAACAAAATCCCAGCTCTGAGATCATTCGCACCGTCTTGCTGACCTGGCTTCTATCACTTCACACAAATATCTCCAGTTCCATCCTTGTTGTCACAGATGACAGGACTTTGGTCCTTTTCCTTTTTCTTTTTTGACAAATTTGGGGGCCAACAGAGGTGAGGCAAAGAACCTCACCCCCCCCCCCCAACTGGTGCATAGACCTATCCACAAGTATGGCTGTATGCTGGACCGGACCAGTAGTCAGTGACGGGTATGATTCAATTGCAGTGGTATCAACCTAAGACAGGAGGCTGACGCCTAAAGGTCAGTTTTCCGATGACGGGTAAGAACCATATGTTGGGGCCGGGGATGTGGCTCAAGCGGTAGCACGCTCGCCTGGCATGCGTGCGGCCCGGGTTCGATCCTCAGCACCACATACAAACAAAGATGTTGTGTCCACTGAAAACTAAAAAAATAAATAAATATTTAAAAAAAAAAAAAAAAAAAAAAAAAAAAGAACCATATGTTGAATTGGACAACCTACCAGGCACGGTCCTTAAGCCACATTGCTTGTTGTTTAATTAATCAGAAGGGGGGAGATGCTGGGAGCCATTAGCCAAGTAGGTATGACAATTTCCTTGCCAGCGTACCCCATGTTGCTGACATTTTGCAGTGACATTGAATGTAGGTGACCTTGCTCAAGGACCAGGGCGGATTAGGGTGTTCCCGGTTTAAGATAATCAGGTTTAGGGCGTTCCCAGTTTAGGTTCCAGGTTTAAGGTTTAAGATTATTCCTGCTGGGAATAGGGCGTATCCTGCTGCCTGAGTCCCCCTTGAGTTCTCACGGGATTCAGACAGTATTTTTTGGGAGATAGAAGCCCAGTGGAGGTGGATTTGGGCAGAGAACGTGGATTTCCCCAGAACGTGTTTGTAGACGGCTGGTGTGAGTTCGGGAATAAAGAGTTGCTCTTTGAATCTACAAGCTGTGTGGTGGCTCGTGATTGTGTGCCCAGCCAGACTGTGGCATTTGGTGGCCCGTACGGGGAACTTCTGAAGCTTAGAGGTAAGTGAAATTGCTCGCCCCTGAGGAAGAGCGAAAGAATGGGTGACCAATTCAAAAAACAATATGCTCTTGTTTTGATTTATTTTGTTTTTATTTCAAGTTACCTGTTCCTAGAACTTTCTCAGGCAAACTGGGGAAAATGGTTGACTCAAGGTTTGAAGTTGTTCGCCTCCGAGCAAGATAAATTGTTAGAGGAAGGAGGCACCCCAGTAAGACCAAGAACAGTTAGGACATATGTTGATACAATACAAAAATGTAGCCCATGGCTTTTTAAAGACAAGTTATTAAGTATATCAATGGGACCATCATGGTATCCTGTAGAAGGATTTTTCTTCAAGAAAGAAATGACTAGTTCTGTTTACTACATTTGTCTAAGATCTTGGTTTTTACAGACATCTGATTAATTTACACAGCTAAAGTGTTAAAATATCAACCACTAAATATGAAATCAAGTACTCTTTACTTATTAAGTTCCATAAGGTAATATATTTAAACATTATGTGTGTTTTCATAAATTGGTAAATGGAAAAATGTTTAATATTGCTTTGTGTCTGTGTCTTTGCTGAAACAAGGTTACTAAGAGTTAAGATTCTATTATGTGTAATTTATATACAAAGAGTAGAAAAATTTTCAGTTGGGTTTCAATTATAGTATTATAGTATCACAAAAAACATGAAAGTCTTTCATCTTATTAAAGTGGAGTAATTTGTCTAAATCAGAAATTTTATAAGAGTTGTTTCAAAATTTTAGCTTTGTAAATTAATCAGAACTTTGTAGAAACCAAGATCTTAGACAAATGTAGTAAACAGAACTGTGTGCCGCAGTCTGGCTGGGCACACAATCACGAGCCACCACACA